TGTGCAGACCTAGTTTAAATTAAAAACTAAATAATACTTACAAACTAAAAACTTAAAAACTTTTACTTTAAAGATTGTTTGATTTACTAAACTTTTTGATGTTATAATATGGAATCTAATTATGTATATAAGTCTTTTGCTTTAATTATTTGAAGATTTAAGAGTTTGTGTGTATTATCACTCATCCATTTTTTTAATACTTTTTTTGTATGATTTTTATTTTTTTCATTTATTTTTAAGTTTGTATCCAGTGTATTAAACAGTTTTTCGTAATATTGGAAAAATTATTTTATTTCTTGTGGTCCTATTTGATTCTTTTAAACTTGTTGACACTTCTTTATAGTTTAATAAGATAGTCTCATATAAAAAACATTCCCTAATAGATAGAGGCATCTTTACATCTTTGTCTTTCAAAACAATAATTTTAAGTAATCTATTATGTATTCTTTGCAGACCCTCCAATGCCCCTCCCCAGGCAATAATACCATAAGTAGCAATGCTATGGAAAAAATCATAGTACAGTGCCATTAGAGAACATCGATGGTTATTTGACAAAACATCGTAAGCGGCAAAACCTAAAATCCAATCTAAAATTTTCATTAAATTTTGTGGCATACGATATTTTATAAGAACATCTGGTAGGCAGTGGACTGTATGAATTGTGAGAAATAGGGGATGGTGGTGTTAGTTGACTGAATTATGTGACTAGATAAAACGTGGGCAGTAGGAATATTATAAAAGTCCTACCTTGTTGCTGGTGCTGATGACGACACTCAGGGCCCTGATCTGGTTTCTGGCAATTAGGCTGTTAGCGTTGGTTTCAAGCGGTTGAGATGCACAAGCGGGATAAAGCGGGTAAAATGTCGCGTGGTAAATCACTGTCTTTCGCGGGGATGCTTGCGGTTCGAACTCTTATTTCTTAATACACTTACGCCCTCACGCGGTCAAATAGGTAATTAAAAATAGTTGCGGTAAACATGCGCGTTGGGGGGGCAATAAGCTGGATATAATATTAAAATAAATATAATAAAAATTAAACAAATATTAAATATTTCGCGAAGACGAAACAACATCTTTAGGAAAATGTAAAATTAGTCTTGTCGTTACTTTGTGGGATATAGATTTGATGATTACTTTTGTCAAAACATCGTTAGCGACATTTATTTTTTACTTTTATTATTAAATAAAAAAATACAAAAAAACTAATTTATAAAATATCACCAACGATATTTTGCCAAAAAATGTTTGAAATTCTGCATTAGCTTTCTTTGAAAAAAACGAACTATTTTTATTCACAAACTAGTATCTAACCCATGGAGCCTACACAAGGAGTCCGAACTTAATAGGGGAAATTGACAAAACCTGCCCTTTAAATTATACGAATTAAATTTCTTTTTTTCACCACCAGCGGCGCTGATTGTCGATGCTAGGGTTTCGGTACAAATTAAACAATTGTTTCAGAATAAACGGAACACCAGCGCCCTCTTATCTTGGAAAGATTCTTGTTTACATGATGTTCGGATTCCTTGTGTAGGTCAGTGGCGGCTTGTCGTATAAAGCAACTGAGGCCGGGCCTCACATGTTAAAATTATAATATAATTTGAAATTTTCGATACATTACTTATTTAAATATAAAACGTTTTAAAACTAATTTCCGGTCATTAAAAGTATCAAAACATGAATAACCATTAAAGTTTAAAATATTTTCTTTAAATTTAGCGCGCACCCCTTGCCCGACCGCATAATAGGAAAATAGCCCATGGGAAAGTATCGTCTAGATTTTTTTTGACGATCTTCTTTTATTGACGATTTTTTAGACGATATCATCAAATATTGATGACATCGTCTATAAAGTCGTTTAAAATAGAAGATCGCCTGTTATTTTTGTTGACGATCGTCAATAAAAATACGCGATCGTCATTGTAAAATTGATTATTATCTAAATAAAATGACGATCGTCTATCTAAACGTTGACGATCGTCATACAAATCAGGCGATTGTGTATTCTAAGCAATCAAACGTCTTTGCAATCGTCTTTAAAAGGAGTAATCGTGAATTTCACAATCTTAAAACTAGGCGAACTCTTTTAATAAACAATGATTTTTAAATTAATGTATAAATTATAATTATTAATAGAAAGTATACTTACACTATATATATTTATATATATAAATATATATTATAATTTGTATAATTATTTTATAATTTTTAAATTCTTTTAATTTAAAAATTTAAACGGAAATTTTCAGTAATTTTTAAATCATTAATATACAAGGTGATCACTTAAAATTGGGCAAAAATTTAAGGGGCGATTTCTTCGGTTATTTTTGGAATATATTGTGCTGTGATGATTTTTGCAAATCCATTTTGTTTTGAATTAGTTAAATTATGTTACTCTTTAACAAGAAATTTAGGGGTGATTTTTTGGGTTTTTTAAATAATATTAAGCAATCCCTATGAGATAAGAGTCTTATCATAAGACACAAAACTGTATGTTTTTATTATTTTATTTTTAATATTTTGGCAGCAATATATATTAAATATTAAAATATATATTTTTAATACACAGTTTATTTTATTTATTAATACATACAAATGATATATTCTTTACTGTTCTTTATTAGTCTAAATTTAGTCTGATTCATTAACCAAAGTTAAGTTAATTATTAATTGTATAATTGTTTAGCTGCTGCTATCCATATGGTTTATTTTCAAATGCAAAATTGCAAAAAAATTCCATTTATTATTTAATAATTTACAATTATTATACCATTTTTATAATTTAAATAATGCTTACAAAAATTTAAAACTTTGCAATAAAATTATTTTTTAAATTAAATAATTATTTAATGCTTTTAAAAATTTAAAACTAGAATTTTTACAATATTTTATATATTATAATTTTTGAACAGAAGCTTGAGAAAAATTATATTATATAAACCTATAGAAGCTAAAAATCTATAAAAAATATTTTTTATGGCAAAAGGTCCCTTTTATTTAAAAAATATTAAAATGGGGGGTCGGGTTAAAGTAAGTTAAAATTAATTTAGCTTAATTTTAAGAAATTATTCTTTTTTCTTATTTATTTTCAACCATTAACAATTAGTACTTAAAATTTGACGAATGACGATTACATATCAAAATTGTCTTTTAAATACTTATTTTTAAAACAATGTCTTTCTATTGTGATCGTCATTGGTTGATATTTGCTCGTTTTTCGAATTCAAGTTGATTGTCTTTTGAAGACGATCGTCTTTTGAGGCGATCATTATTTGGACGAATTTTCGTCTTTAAGGCGATCGTCATTTAAAAAGATCGTTTTAAGGCGATCGTCTTTTATAGGCGATCGTCATTGGACGAATTTTCGTTTTTTTTTTGACGATCTTAGACGATAATTTCCCATGGGAGTAATCCCATAAATTTGCGCTTCATATACGTCACACATTGCCGATACAATATCATGCTCCCCACCGCTGCACGGTGCCGCCGGCACCCCCGCAAGGCGGGGATAATACGCGTATTTTTGTAGACATTGAGGCCCACAAAGTTGGGCTTGTACCACAGTATATGGAAGACAGCGGAGTCAGTCCCGAGATCTGTGCGGCTCGCTTATCAGCCGTTGTAAAAGACTGGGCGGGGCGTGTAATGTTTTAGTAAACAAAGCTTATTAATTAGATCTATGCGTGTTTATAGTTTCTTATTTCTGTTTAGTCTTTGCCTTAGCGTTAAAATGGAAAGTTGCGATAAAAATTCAAGCGTAAAATACATTATTGTATTGTGAATTCATGTAAAAATAATTCAAATAATTATAAAAGATCATTTTTATTTTAATATATTATTATATTAGTACACAAATACCACAGTAAAAATCACAAAAAATATAAATAAAAATATTCATGTTTTTTTTTATAGTTCAGTGTTAAATCGTTGAGTTTCATATACCTACTGTGCTTGTACATGATTATTTTGTTGTTGTGCGGTTGTGCCTTTATTAATCTAAAAATAATTATTGTAAGATAGGTAAAAATGAGCAGTACCTCCTGGGTAATGTGGAAACCTGCTGAAGAAATAAATAAAAATCCCACCTCGTCCCGCACTTTTTGTATTATTCTAGCTAAATTTTGAAAATTCTTCTCGTGAAAGAACATATTTTTAAATAATATATTTTTATTATTTAGATTCTGAAGTGCTCCAAAAACGCGAGACTGAAAATTTCAAAAAAATTGCATGCGGTGCCATATAGCGGTTCATGGGCCTCACCTTCATAAATGGTCACGAGCCGCCACTGGTGTAGACTCCATGATCTAACCCATGGTACCATGATCTAACCGTTATAAATTTGAGTCAAATTATTTGACGCTAGAACAGCATAAAATTACTAAAAAAAACACTTTTAAAGAACCACACTACGTATAAACAATTATAATTAGGATAACTAATAATAATAATAATAATGAATTTATTTAGCATCAGTGCTACATAAAAATAACAATTGACATATTTACATAAAAAATACAACGAAAAAAATAGAAAAGTTTAAAAAGTTTACAATTAGATTTTTAACAAAACATGTGTATACAGAATTAGATATATCATAATAATTCTAATATTAAGATGACAAAAACGCAACATTTAGTTTAAAACAAATCTTCTCAAAAGTTTTTTGAACTGATTTATCACAGTTTTTAATATTCACAGGTAGTTTATTAAACTCAAGTAAACCTTTGTATAAAACGGAGTTTAACATTTGTGTTGTATTACACCTGTCTAGTAAAATATCGCAAACGCCATGTCTCGGAGTTGCTTACAATTATTTGTCGGGAACATATAGGCGCTTACGTTATAAATCGGTAAGAAATAAAGGTTATGTAACCAAAGTCACACCCACAACTTAAACCAACCCATGGCGCAATATTTGGCGCCAACACCTGCCTTGCTCTCTTTTACCTCCATAATATACTGTATATTCGTTTTTGTCTATTTTTCCTTCTTTTTTCCACCTAACCTCTTGTAGGGCCAATATTTGTATTCCATATCTTCTCATTTCCCTCTCTACCTGCTCCATTTTTACCTGTTATTAGCATTGTTTTTATGTTCCAAGTATCTATTCTTAACTTTTGTTCTTTTTTATTTATCTTTTTTCTTTTTTTATTTATTTTTATTTTCGTTGTATTCTCTTCATTATCATCTGTTATTTCTGTTCCATTTTTTCCTTTTTGCGTTGTCCTATTTATGTTCTCAGAAGTTTCCGTTTCTTTTTTATGATTATAAATTGTTGCTTTTAGTTTTTTGTTGGATCCGGTCCTTTTTTATTTTATTCCCTTATTTCCATTAATTTATGGTCTTCTGTATTCCACTTGAAGGCTTTACTACCCTGCTGAAAAAGACGGGTAAAATCGGATGATTGCGGATAAAAAACCAAGCTGGTTTTATGTCCATTTATATCTGTTTTCATCCGACATATCTGATTTTACCCGGCATGTCGGTTTTTATCTGCAAATGCGGGTATAAATATTATCCGCGAACGTCGGGTTTTATCTATTTAGTTCTATGTCTGCTTTCATCTGGTTTCATCCGCAAATACCTGTATTTGGGTTTATATCTGCATTCACCCGGTTTTATCTGATTTTATCCGCAAACATCTACTTTAATCCGCAAACGTCTGCTTTATCCGATTTCACCTGCAAACATCTGCTTTTATACGTGAAGATCTACTTTCATCCGCGAACATCTATTTTAATCCACAAACATCTATTTTAATCCACAAACATCTGATTTCATCCGCAAACATCTACTTTAGTCCGCAAAAGTCTGCTTCATCCGATTTCACCTGCAAACATCTGCTTATATCCGCAAAAATCTGCTTTTATCTGTGAACGTCTGCTTTAATCCGCAAACTTCTGCTTTTATCTGCAAACATCTGCATTTATCCGCGAACGCCTCCTTTAATCCGCAAACATCTGTTTTAATCCGCAAACATCTGATTCTATCCGCATACATCTGCTTTTATCCGCAAACATCTGTTTTAATCTCCAAACATCTGCTTTTATCCGCAAACATCTCTTTTAATCTGCAAACATCTGCTTTTATCCGCAAACATCTGATTTTATCCGCTTACATATGCTTTTATCCGCAAACATCTGATTTTATCCGCAAACATCTGCTTTTATCGGCAAACATCTGCTTTTATCCACAAACATCTGATTTTTTACACAAACATCTGATTTTATCCGCAAACATCTGCTTTTATGCGCAAACATTTGCAAACATCTGCTTTAATTGCAAACCTCTGCTTTCATCCGGGTTCGGTTTGCCTGCAATTCCTTTGTCCATTTCGGTCCTGTTTCGTACGCAAACATCTGGTTTCATTCGCGCTTTTTGTTTTCCTTTTTCGCATGTATACTTTAGTTTAGTTTACCTGCTTTGTCAAATTTTACTGAGCTTTAACTAACTTGTTGTTAGCCGTTCACGGCACACAACTTTATAACTCTAAAAGGAATTATTTGAATAAAAACAACCTGTAAAGGAAATAAGTTTATTCAACACGACATTTTTCCAATGGGAACCAGATTTAAATTTAAAAATCAGGTGTACTATAGTGAAGATTACCACATGTGCACAGAAATAATAAGTCTAATAATTCTTACATATGTATTAAAAATATTGGTTATGCCAAAATTAAAAAGTTTAGATGAAAAATTCTACGCCGAAATAAGTGTTTTTCAAACAAATCCCAGGAACATTTTTACCTGTTATTAGCATTGTTTTTATGTTCCAAGTATCTATTCTTAACTTTTGTTCTTTTTTATTTATCTTTTTTCTTTTTTTATTTATTTTTATTTTCGTTGTATTCTCTTCATTATCATCTGTTATTTCTGTTCCATTTTTTCCTTTTTGCGTTGTCCTATTTATGTTCTCAGAAGTTTCCGTTTCTTTTTTATGATTATAAATTGTTGCTTTTAGTTTTTTGCTGGATCCGGTCCTTTTTTATTTTATTCCCTTATTTCCATTAATTTATGGTCTTCTGTATTCCACTTGAAGGCTTTACTACCCTGCTGAAAAAGACGGGTAAAATCGGATGATTGCGGATAAAAAACCAAGCTGGTTTTATGTCCATTTATATCTGTTTTCATCCGACATATCTGATTTTACCCGGCATGTCGGTTTTTATCTGCAAATGCGGGTATAAATATTATCCGCGAACGTCGGGTTTTATCTATTTAGTTCTATGTCTGCTTTCATCTGGTTTCATCCGCAAATACCTGTATTTGGGTTTATATCTGCATTCACCCGGTTTTATCTGATTTTATCCGCAAACATCTACTTTAATCCGCAAACGTCTGCTTTATCCGATTTCACCTGCAAACATCTGCTTTTATACGTGAAGATCTACTTTCATCCGCGAACATCTATTTTAATCCACAAACATCTGATTTCATCCGCAAACATCTACTTTAGTCCGCAAAAGTCTGCTTCATCCGATTTCACCTGCAAACATCTGCTTATATCCGCAAAAATCTGCTTTTATCTGTGAACGTCTGCTTTAATCCGCAAACTTCTGCTTTTATCTGCAAACATCTGCATTTATCCGCGAACGCCTCCTTTAATCCGCAAACATCTGTTTTAATCCGCAAACATCTGATTCTATCCGCATACATCTGCTTTTATCCGCAAACATCTGTTTTAATCTCCAAACATCTGCTTTTATCCGCAAACATCTCTTTTAATCTGCAAACATCTGCTTTTATCCGCAAACATCTGATTTTATCCGCAAACATCTGCTTTTATCGGCAAACATCTGCTTTTATCCACAAACATCTGATTTTTTACACAAACATCTGATTTTATCCGCAAACATCTGCTTTTATGCGCAAACATTTGCAAACATCTGCTTTAATTGCAAACCTCTGCTTTCATCCGGGTTCGGTTTGCCTGCAATTCCTTTGTCCATTGCGGTCCTGTTTCGTACGCAAACATCTGGTTTCATTCGCGCTTTTTGTTTTCCTTTTTCTCATGTATACTTTAGTTTAGTTTACCTGCTTTGTCAAATTTTACTGAGCTTTAACTAACTTGTTGTTAGCCGTTCACGGCACACAACTTTATAACTCTAAAAGGAATTATTTGAATAAAAACAACCTGTAAAGGAAATAAGTTTATTCAACACGACATTTTTCCAATGGGAACCAGATTTAAATTTAAAAATCAGGTGTACTATAGTGAAGATTACCACATGTGCACAGAAATAATAAGTCTAATAATTCTTACATATATATTAAAAATATTGGTTATGCCAAAATTAAAAAGTTTAGATGAAAAATTCTACGCCGAAATAAGTGTTTTTCAAACAAATATTTGTATAGAATATTCTATACAAATTGAAGATGTTATAATTCCAAATGTATTTGAAATTAAACATATATGTTTTCTAACAATTAATTTAAATGTAAGCTTAATGATTAAAAAATGTCTATTTAGGTCTTTTAACAAAGACCTTATTTGTATTTTACCAAATAATGTTGAAGTTCAACTTATTTCCTTTACAGGTTGTTTTAATTCAAATAATTCCTTTTAGTGTTATAAAGTTGTGTGCCGTGAACGGCTAACAACCAGTTAGTTAAAGCTCAGTAAAATTTGACAAAGCAGGTAAACTAAACTAAAGTATACACGAGAAAAAGAAAAACAAAAAGCGCGAATGAAACCAGAGGTTTGCAATTAAAAGCAGATGTTTGCAGATGTTCGCGAATTAAAGCAGATATTTGCGGATAAATGCAGATGTTTGCGGATAAAAGCAGATGTTTGCGTATAAAAGCAGATGTTTGCGGATAAAATCAGATGTTTGCAGATAAAAGCATGTTTGCGGGTAAAACCGTATGAAAGCAGATGTTCGCGGATGAGTGCAGATGTTCGCGGATAAAATGAGATGTTCGCGGATGAAAGCAGATGTTCGCGAATAAAAGCAGATGTTCGCGGATAAAATGAGATGTTGGCGGATAAAAGCAGATGTTTGCGGGGTGCACTAACCGGATGAAATCAGGCGTTCGCAGATAAAAGCATGTTTGCGGGTGAAACCGTATGAAAGCAGATGTTTGCGGATAAAACCAGACGTTTGCGGATGAAAGCAGATGTTCGCGGGTGATTGCAGATGTTCGCGGGTGATTGCAGATGTTCGCGGGTGATTGCAGATGTTCGCGGGTGATTGCAGATGTTCGCGGGTGATTGCAGATGTTCGCGGGTGATTGCAGTTGTTCGCGGGTCACTGCAGATGTTCGCGGATGAAATCAGATGTTCGCGGATAAAAGCAGATGTTGGCGGATAAAATCAAATGTTCGCGGATGAAAGCAGATGTTCGCGGATGATTGCAGATGTTTGCAGATGTTTGCGGATAAAACTAAAAAGTTTGCGGGTGAAACCGAATGAAAGCAGACGTTCGCGGGTAAAAGCAGATGTTCGGGGGTGATTGCAGATGTTCGCGGATGAAAGCAGATGATCGCGGATAAAACTAGATGTTGGCGGGTGAAATTGGACTAGGCAGACGTTTTTGGATAAAACCAGACGTTTGCGGATAAAACCAGACAAAAATAGACAACAAAAATGCAGGTAATCGCGGATAAAACCAGACGTAAGCAGACGTTTGCAGATGATTCCGGACAAATTCAGATATAAACGAAACACAGTGAAGACGGTTAAAAACAGATGATTGCAGATGATTGCGGGGGTGCACTAACCGGACATAAAACACAACTAACCGGGTGTTCGCGGATATAGCGATGCGGACAAAAGCAGATGTTATCAGATGATATTTTTACCCGCTTTTATCCGGCTTCGACGAAGAATTTATACCTGCAATCATCTGCTTTTATCCGGTTTTGACGAAGAATTTATATCCGCAATCATCCGTCATTTTCAGCAGGGTTATTATATAGTTTCTTATATGTCATTTTGCAGACGGCCTCTTTATTTTTTCTTCTCTTGCTATATCTCTTAGTGTTTTTTGGATTTTTCTTTCGGTCATTGTAAGCTCAGAATCTATATAGATGTCTTTTCCTTTTAGTTTGCTCTTTTCTTTAAAAAATTCCATTTTGTCTTTCCAGGTATTAGCTTCTGCTATAATAATATTATCGTTGATCTTGTATGCACTTTTCAGTTCCTTCTTTACTCTACTCTCCTTTATTAACATTTCTTCTACATTTTGTTTAATCAGGTTGTTATCCTTTCCTTCTATATTTAATCCTGAGATAACAATATTATTTTTAATTTTATCCTTTTCTAACCTCACTAGTCTAGTTCCTTTTTCAGTCCTTGTTTTTCTTCTCTCCACTCCTGTTTCATTTACTATTTTCTCCTTCATAATTCTCATTTCTTCATTGTTTGTTAATAATTCGTGTCTTAAATCTCTTATATCCTTTTTCATTTCTCGTAACATTTCTTTAATTTCGTCCATTTCTCTATTATCGATATTATTTTCGTTTGTTATTTCTCGGTTTCCTTTTTTATGTGGGTTTTCTTCTAATTCAAATGAGTCTTCGTGATCTAGCGTATTTCTTTTCTGTCTATTAACTTCTATTTGCCTTTCCTCGTTCTTCATAAGGTTAACTCAAAAACTTGTGTGCGCCAAACAGTCCGCCTCTGACTTACTTAGTTCAGCCAAAGACCTGCTTATCGCCTAATAACCTTAAGCTCCCCCTGATAAAATTAGCTAACAAAGCCCAAGATGGAAGATGGCTTGTAGATTCGAGTAGGTTAGAAATCTGCGAACATCCAGCAAGCGCTGAGGAAATAGGCACTGTACAGAACGGAAAATTCAACACCGTAATTCGGCCTTATCCAAAAACCACTGCCGATAATTAATCCCTTTTTACAGGTTAGAGAAATCTACTCCGGTATCGCGCAGTCTTACAGACTTCCACCATTAATCACTTTTCGTTGTTAATTAAAGATGTACCCACCCTACGTTTCACGATTTCAAGCGGCATACACGCGCAATAGATATCAAAAATGTAAGTTTAATGCAATGTTGCCAATTAAAAGAAAACAATATACAAACAAAAACAATAATTGATCGTAAATAAAAATTATTGTTTTATTTCCCTATTTTAATGAAATTTATTAACAATTATTGTAAACCAATCTAACAGAATTTTTGAATCGTAATATGCTTAATTAGGTTCTCAATTTATTGTATTTCTTTATATATTTTTTTTGTATATATATATATATTAGGGTGGTCCTTAATAAGGTTATTTTCAAATTTATTTGCTCCCAGGGGCTCAAATACTCCCAAATTGATAAAAAAAAAATTCCCTGAAAATTTGAGCTCTTAATATTAACTCTAAGATAGTGCGCATTCCAATCTAAGTTTCCTATGGAAATAACATAGGAAAAATTACTTTTGTTGTTTATTATTTTATAACTTGGGAACGAATGAATTAAAAATTATAAATCAAACATATTTTAATAGAGAATTTAACGCTTTACAAAAAAGGTCTCTTATAATTTTTCCATTAGTCTATTGGTTTAAAAGTTATTCAACGCCAAAGTTTAATTTTCATATTATTATTAATATTATGAAGGCTTTTTTATGAGGCGCCGTTTGTGTCAAAATTAAAAGTGCTAAATAAACCTATTTTGTTTTATAAATAATTAATTATATGCTTTACCAAATAATTTTTTTATAAAATTATTTTTTTTGATTTTTAGTTTTGTTTCAAGAGAATTGATTTATTTATTTTAATTTGTTTTCTAGAGAATTATTTTATTAATTTATTTTAGTTTTTAACAAGTGCTTTCTTATAAAAAACGTTTAAACATAAAGAATTCTTGTTAAAAACTAAAAATCAAAATAAATGTAGATAAAAAAATTAATGAATTAATGAATAAAAATAAAAAAATATTATTTTCAATCGTTTCCCCAAATTGCGTCAAACAAAAGCCCAGTCCGTCATAAAATTGTATCTGGGGAGAGGCGTTCGGGTTTACTCGGGTTTACTCGAGTGTCTACAAACAAATAGAGATGGCTTCAGTAAAAATTAATTTATAAATGCGCCCGTCGTCTTTTATAAAATAATTTTTGATTCGCAGAAAATTATTTTATAAAAAAATTATTTTATAAAATTTTTTACAAAAAAAAATTATAAAAAAATAATTTTATAAAAATTTTTACAAAAAAAAAAAGTTAAAAAAAAAATAATTTTATAAAAAAATTATTTGGTAAAGCATATAATTAATTATTTATAAAACAAAATAAAAGTATTTAGCACTTTTAATTTTGACACAAACGGTGCCTCATAAAAAAGCCTTGATAATATTAATAATAATATGAAAATTAAACTTTGACGTTGAATAACTTTTAAAACAATGGACTAATGGAAAAATTATAAGAGACCTTTTTTGTAGAGCGTTAAATTCTCTATAAAAATATGTTTGATTTATAATTTTTAATTCATTCGTTCCCAAGTTATAAAATTATAAACAACAAAAGTAATTTTTCCTATGTTATTTCCATAGGAAACTTAGATTGGAATGCGCACTATCTTAAAGTAAATATTAAGAGCTCAAATTTTCAGGGATTTTTTTTTTAATTAATTTGAAAGCATTTGAGCCCCTGGGAGCAAAGAAATTTAAAAATAATCTTATTAAGGGTGGTCCAGGAATAATCTGAAAAATTTTAATGATCGATAGAGCCTGAAAAAACAATAAAAACAACCCCAAAAACATTTTTCAAAAATACACACTAACACACTAATAGCCCTTCAAAGGCAAAAAACCGTTTTTTTTTAAATAACTTTTAAACCATTAAACCGATTCTGCTCAAATTTTGTGTAGTTAAAATTTCTTACAAAAGGCCCAGCGGCGGAGATTTTGGGGGGTTTCCCCTTTTTACCCCCATATTTCGACCCCACTGGATTTTATTGGAAAATCAACAGATTGTCAAACACATTTGATTTATTATGCCACGTTATCAGTTTAGCAACATCGAATATGCAGATAATCATTATGTGTATGGACTATGTGATGGAAATGCGCTAGCACCAGAGGTTTCGAGACTTTGAACTTTGAAATAATAATGAACAAAATATACGTGAACCGAGATTAAGACGACGGGATACTGAGAACTTTTCAAAATGATCCAGGGTTGACCTCCCGGAAAGCTGCTTTAAGACTGAATCCCTCAAAGTCAAATATTCTTCATGACGACCACCAAAAACCTTATCATTACCGCCCGGTTCAAAAAAGAAGAGCCCAATTTTGTTCGAAAAATTGTATGGCGCTCCAGCACATTCAAGTGTTCGAGTGCTGCAATGGTGCGACAAAAATTTCCCGCAATGTTAGATTGGGCGTTTTGGGCCAATCTCTTGGCCGGCGAGATCGCCTGACCTCAACCCGTTAGAATACTAGAATTAATAAACAGGATACGAGATTAATGTAACTACACTACAAGTTGCACGGGCTGTCCAATTCCTTCTACGGCGCTGTCAAATGTGTTTGGATTCTGGGGGAATGCATTTTGAAAGTCTGATATAATTTGCTACAAGCTACTGTTACTGTTATAATTTGTTACTAAGTTACCGATTCAAGATAAAAATAAACTAGCGTCTAGTCATCGTGCAGTTGTTACTGATCCCGTCATATTTTTAGGTTGTTTTATTGTAACGTTGATTGAGGATTACAATCAACGTTTGTAATTCATAATTATAATTTAATCTTTATACACAGTGTTTTTGAAATTTTAAACTAAAATATTTCGAAACCACTGATCTGATGAAAAATTAACACAAAAGTTTTGCTTTTACATTAAAAAAGGATATAATAAATCTGATAAATCCAGTGGCGTCGAAAATATGAAGGTAGAATTTTTTTTTTATATTATCGACCGAAGCTTAACCTACACAAAATTTGAAAAAAATCGGTTTAATGGTTTAAAAATTATTTTGAAGGACTATATCTCCGTTAGTATGCATTTTTGAAAAATGTTTTTGGGTTTGTTTTTAATGTTTTTTCAGGCTCTATCGATCATTAAAATTTTTCAGATTAATCCTGGACCACCCTGTATATATATATATATATATATATATTTAATATTGCTTTGTTTTCATGAGGATTGTAAGTGATAAACAAATTTATCACCATTTAAGTAGGTATATTTGTCATAATTCTCAATATTGCAATATGGACATAGATTATACAAAATATGGAACTGGAGAATAATTGTTGCATTTGTCCTGTTCCTATGAATAGAATTGTAGTAGCCGCAATTTTACAAAATGATGGAGAAGTATTTTGTCCAATTTGACGTGCGGTGATTGAAGACTGTAGTGGTGCAAAGAAAACCATAAATCATTTAGAGGGACTTTTTTCAAAAATAAAAAAAAAATAACAAAATTAAATTTTATCGCGTAACCTAGGGAATGCAATCTTGGTGTACCAAGATCTCGAAATAGCAATATCTCGCACTAATTCTGCAAGATTAGTCTTGCACTAAAATCATGCGCGATCTCGCAAGATTTGCGAGATTAGGACGCAGCGCATTCCATGTGTGTTTTGTGTTTTTTGAGAAGTCATTTTCAAAATAATCTATATAGTCATGTTTATGTTTTTTGCTTAAATAGCTTGATGATTACACAGTACAACACGATTTCCCTCCCATGAAAAATTTTAGCAGATTTTGAAAATAGAGGTAAAAAAAACATACCCGTGTCTCACAGTTTCACGAGATCACGACATAAAAAAATTTTAAGCCGTCATTCCTATTATTTATGCTTATACAGATTGTACATTTTTTACTCGGTTAAAAATATATTTTTTTGTAAATATTGTATGTTTTTACACAATACAAAAAACAAATATAAAAAAAGTTTATATTTTGATTTTTTTTGAAATAATTTTTTTTTATTTTTTTTTTAATGAAACACATTTTTGTATTTATCTTATATTCAATACATGTTGGAATAAAATCTTGGTCGTTTAGTTTGACGATTATACAGCTCGTTCAGACTAAAACCGAATATATCTATATATATATGGGGCGTGGCCTCGCCTCCCTCCAACGCGCGACACAGTAGCTAAGCAAATAGACTGCATCGCTAATGAGATTTTTTGCATTATTATCATTTAATTTTTTAAGTCCTTACCTGCTCGACCTTTCGTCATGTCGTTTATCACACAAGCAACTGTGACGCGCCTTGGAGGGAGGCGAGGCCACGCCCCATATATATATAGATATTCGGTTTTATTCTGAACAGGCTGTATATTGCTTCAGAATCTCGAACAATTGACCAGCAATATTCACCCAGAAAATGCCTGACGTCTTTTCCCTTGAAGCGTTTTTCAATTGTTAAAATGTCTTGGTGAAAACGTTCGCCATTTTCGTCACTAAAATCGCCCAAATTTGGTGGAAAATAGTCCAAATGAGCATGGAGAAAATGTATTTTCAGTGACATATGTACTTTCATGTCCTGTGTTATAAAATGTACTTTATAACCCGAACTAGAGGGAATAAATTCAGATTCCATCTCGGAAAAAATGGTTGTACTGGGTGTTAAAGGTCTTTTACTTTTATCCTCACATAAGTATGTTTTCTGAAGCAGC